CACAGGTGTAAGACCAATATTAACACACCAGTGAAACCGTACAGAAAACTCAGGCAAATACTCGTCCACCCGAAAGACAAAATAGAACCTTAGCATAAATGTAATGTCATATATGAAATACCCTGCATGTCCTGCAATAAAACATACATCGGGGAAACAGGGAGGGCGTTCAGCACACGAAAAAAGGAACATAAAACAGAATGCGAGAAGGAAACAGCGAAGGTGTGCACACAAAAACACAAAGCAGAACAGGAACAACTCAAATCGGCCGTTTCTGACCACTGTAAAAGAGAGAACCACATTACGGACTGGGATGGAGCAAACATCACTGGGACAGAGGAAAACAAACATCGCCGCTGGATTAAAGAGGCAATCGAAATACGGAAACGTGCCCACGGGACGATAAACCGGGACGAGGGGGCTTTTTTACTCTCACACACCTGGGATACTGTCCTGAGGAGGTCGGACTGCAGATGGCGCTGTCGTCCTGCCCCCACCGGTAGGAAAACAGCGCCAAAACCTGTTTAAATCACCTGATCGGACACGTCACAGCAACATCACGTGACTTTGAGGAAGAGCGCTAGTGAGCAGTCGAAACTGTCAGGTATGAAAACAAACCTATGGTCTGAAAAAAGAACCTAATAACATAAGCGATCAGAAGACCAACTGAACCTCATTGGACTAAAATATAAGACCACATGGGAATAAAAGTGTTTTGTATTATCATCGTGGTATCGGGATCGGTATCGAGTCTTTTCCTTAGTATCGAAATGCAGTTTGAGTTTTTTGTATCGTGAGAATGCTAATCCAGAATGCATTTGCGGTCTTTTCAGCAGGCAATACGCATTTGGTTTGAATGAAGAGGGACCGGCACAAACAAGGGACACAATATTAACAAATAATCATTATCATGCTTTGTAACAGCGTGCCTTTTGTTAGCCCACAGATGGAGAGCATTGGACACAGGTTTGCACATCAGTAGCAGAGTCCTTTGTCTGTTTAGCAAGCTAATTTATGCCTGACTTTTGTTTAACAGCGTTGAAACTGTCCTCGCCACATCCTATAGCCATTATTTCAGACGCCTGCGTGCTACTTCTCATAAAACGTGTGTTAGTTATAATGTCAACAAACAGCAGAAGGACTTTGTGTTGGAACCGAACATATGGGGCTATACGTTGGGAAGAAGTTGATTTTAAACACGTGTTTGTTGGTGAAATACGGCCGGACAAGAGTCTAGTGCACAGTCTGACTTATAAATCTCAGAAGCGTGGCGGGGTATCGGGTGTTTTAGCCAAACAGGTGTGAAAAACACATGCAGAGCTCACATTATGGAGAGATATTAGGTTTGTGCGAATGTGAAAACTTTTATTCTAGTGTTTAGTTGTGTTGTAAAAAAATTTAAACCCAGATGCTAAAACTAATATCAAAACTGGATACTCATTTGAACACATATTAATACCGAAAAAAAAAACTTCCAGGCAAATCCAAAATTATATCTCTGTGTATTTTTTTATACAGAGAAATATCAGTCTGGTTCCTACTCCCATGTCTCCAGGCTTAAACTTGTTCGTCTAATCAGATGTGTTTATTTCAGTAGCAAATGTGAAATGAAGAAGCTCATTGGTCACCCATAATTTTGAACAAAATTATCTTCAAAATTTGAGTTATCTTCTCTGATTTGTGCCCAAAGGAAAATGTTTCCCCAGTTAAAACTAAACTCAAAACAAGACCGTCCTGTTTGCGTAGTTTTGTTTTTGAGTTTGTGTGCGGTGTCTTACAAATTGATATTTATGGTTAGAGCAGACCTGGGTATTGTACAGTCCCCGGGCCACATGCAGCTCTTTGGTTTTCCAACCCATGTAAACTAATTTGGAATTACAAAATAAACATATTTTATCATTTTAGCTCATGCATGGACTAAAACTGCATCGCTTTTATTTTAGAGGTGTCCTTTTTAAATGAAATTTTTAAGGCAACCTCACTTTTTCATTACTTAATCATAACATAAACTCTTACCAGTCTTGCAAGCTTGTCAAAACAATCCTATTTACTGCTTTTTTAAATAAAGAAATACAATTAATATTATGCAGAATTGAGTTAAGCATTTTGGCCCAGCCCTCCATAATATTTTCTGTTTCTCATGTTGCCCCTTAGAAAAAAATAATTGTCCACCCCTAGGTTATACATTCATTCATTTTCTGCATTTGACCCGTCCTTCAACCAATGTGACTGGGGCCACCTGTGGGCTACTGCCGTTCAGTGACCCAGGAACCCATCTCCAAAACCCATCTAGATTTACTGAATTAAGTATGACTAAACTTGTGTCAAGGAAAGGACTAAACCACAGAGGTGGGACCAAGTTGTTGTTTTGCTGGTGTCAAGTAAGTCTCAACTCTTTGGCTTCAAGTCCCAAGTCAAAGGTCGGTAAATCCAAGTCAAGTCCCCGAGTCAGTGGCCCACAAGTCTAAGTGAAGTCCAAGTCCTCTGCTTTGAGCTTCAAGTCATTTTGTGTCTTTAAAATGAAGTATAGCTTGTATTTTTGCGATTTATAGGCCTATGCTTTTATAAATTGTACTGCTTTAAAAAGTCACGGTAACAAATAGTGATGTAACAATATCCGACTATAGCTACTCATTAAAGTTATAAAAAGTTATGTCATCACGTACTCTGCGAAATTAAATGGAGAAAAGGATCATGGCTTTTGTAGTTCCCTGCCTTTTAGTTGTTGCTGCAAGTAAACAACGCAATTGAGCCAGGGAGTAAGACATTTGACGATGCAATATTACAGTATTTGTATTATTTTTTCATCCTCAGTAACAAATAGAGAAGTGGGGAGAGATGTGAAGCACTGAAAGTATCAACTGGAGTCTATAGAGTCGATTATCAACTCGACTGCCAAAATCACCAGTTGAAAAAACACTTCACGGACCACGTTTAACAAAACAAAGCGAAATTCGATACAGATTACTTGACAGGTAATGGATCAGTGGTACTTTAGAATGATGATACCTTTACGTTTGCCAGTTTTTGCCATCATCTAGATCTGCTTATCCCGTCGATTTAAAACATATCACTTAGTAAAACCAATAAGAACGCCGTATTCTGTCAGATTTTGCGCTAATTTTACACCTATCCATCTCAATTCATAATCGTTTGAGGTTCACTGATTGCCGTGTTATTGTTCGGTACCACTTTTTCAGGCTTGTGTCTATACCCCGGGTGCATGACATGTGCATTCTCATCTGAAACAGTGGAGGCGGGCCAGCTCCAGAGATTGTTGGAAAGCACAAGTGTTCACAGCTGTGGACTCAGTTACACTCTGAAAGGAAAACTAAACAGTCAAAACACTAGCGAGGTTAGATAAGGTTGATAATGCTTTTGGAATATCGACTGTATACTTCGTAGAACGCTGACTTGTTTATTGCTCGAAATAACTCCACGTTGACTTTTAATACTTCCACAAATCTCCTCTGGTTTTGGTCTTGGTCTTTTAGTTTTTGGCAGCTTCAGGATCATTCTAGTCAGTGTCCCTCCTCCGCACATGTCCAAACCATCTCCGTAGCAGAGAAATCAAACATAACGTGTCTCTGTTGTACTCATTTCTGTCCATTTTGATGCTCCAGATCTGCTTCGACTGTCTCTTTTGCTTCACTTATATCTTACGTCAAATCTGCAGTGATTTTCAGTCTTCTGAGATATATTTTTCCCTTTCTTTTTTCCTCGTAAGCAGCCATATTTGTTTTGATACAGACGAATCACTGATTGGCTAATCCACCTGTCAATCACGCCCATCTAAACTCTGCGAGAAGTGTGTATTCTCGATCCCAGACAAATCTCATTCGTTGAGCCTCATTCATGAATTTTATACATAGGGCCTGATTTTGGAGAAATGTGGCGACAATTTTTAAAATATTCCATCCAGTCCTTGTATTTCCAGATGTCGCTGGTGCTAGACTAGTACATGTCAATGGCCATAGTTCTCCTGCCATTAAAAACAGTCTTACCCACTCCACAAAACACCCGAAGCAAAACTATTATTACGCCAGACTGTCGATGTAAATGTCTGTGTTGACAGAATAATGTTTGAAATAAAACTAACTTTTGCATCGCATGAATCATCGCATGTTTTTTTTTTTAGTTTTATTTATTTAAAACGGACAATGCATATTCATGAACATATACTTGTGGCTACTTGAAGGCTACTTTTCATCTGTAGTCCCTGGCAGGTCAGAGAGATAGAGACATAAGACATAAGAACATAAAACGCCTCACAATAGACAAACACACAAGCATGACATACAACACTGACATTTACATAGGAGCATAACATTAGTGGTTACAGATGTGGTTTCTCTTAAGCCATCGTTTCAGATTAGTTTTAAATTGACTGAATGTGGTGGAGTCTCTTATTGTAGCTGGGATGTTGGAGGGACTATTTTCTCATGTATCAGTCCACCGCTGCCGAGCTTTCTATCAGGAAGTACAACTCACTGCTGCTGCTGCTCAGACATAAATCCTTCAAATGCAACATTGGTTTTACTTTTGAAATTATTTGATCAACACAGATATTTACATCGACAGTCTGGTGTTATAATTGTTTTGCTTCGGGTGTTTTGTGGAGGGGGTAAGACTGTTTTTAGAGTCAGGATAACTATGGCTATTGACATGTGACCTCTGCAAATACAAGGACTGGATGGAATATTTTAAAAAGTGTCTCGACACGTCTCCAACACTCTGGCTCACTAGGAAATGTCCTGTGTCCAAAATTACGAACTGTCCCTTTAAGGCCTTCTTACGAACATTTTTAGCTTTCACAAAACTGAAAATGTTTAACAAATCCTACGAACAGTCAGGAGCAACAACAAAAATTCTACTGTTTTTAGAATATTATTACCCGAGATTGTCCTGGGTTCAATTCTGGGGCAGAAGGTTAAACAAAGGTCAATAAATAATACAAAATAGGTCTCACAAGACAGTATTCTTGTGTTCTTGTCTTGCAGCTCCGTACGTGAACTACATCCAGAAGGACCCGGGCGCTCCTTGCTCTCTGACCGAGGCTCTGGAGTACCTGCAGGTGGACGTTCTGCAGAACCTGATGGAGAAGGACAACCTGGTGTCTCAAGCTCCTCCCAAGAACAAGCCTCACAACCTGACCGTGGTGGCCATGGAGGGCTGCCACTCCTTCATCATCCTGGACTGGGCCCGGCCGCTCAAGGACGACATGGTCTCAGGTCAGAGGCTCACACACATAATGACGCACACAGAGAAAATGGATAAGTAGCGGAGTCAAACTTTCTCTGGTAATACAAAACTAAATCTACAAAAGTATGTGTTCTGTTTGCATTCAGAACGTATGATGAGAAAACAAAAAATTAAAAGTAAAAGTTTAAGGATAATGTGTATTCAAACTGTCAAATATAATGAAGGTCTAAAGAAAAGCATTACATTTATTTATTTTATTTGTTTATTTGATTGGGACAGAGCCTGTTAATGAACAAACAGGACACAACATGAATATAAACACACCGGATTGTAGCCTAAGGTTAATTTCCATCCGTTGTCCCAAAGCGTTTGGTGTCACAGGGGGATAAACAATAAAATATTGCACACTCCACTCATTACTTAGTTCCAATTATTGCACAATTCTGATTATTACATAGTTCCAATTATTGCACAGTTCGGATTATTACATAGTTCCGATTATTGCACAGTTTTGATGATTACACAGTTCCGATTATTGCACAGTTCTCATTATTACACAGTTCCGATTATTGCACATTTTCGATGATTACACGGTTCCGGTTATTGCACAGTTCTCATTATTACACAGTTCCGATTATTGCACATTTTCAATGATTACACAGTTCCGATTATTGCACAGTTCTCATTATTAGTAAGTAAGTAAGTAAGTAAGTCTTATTTATATAGCGCTTTCACAGACATTTTCTGTCCCCAAAGACGCTTTACACAGCATTATTCAGCACTATTCATTCAGCATTCATTCATACAGCATTATTCATTCACTCTAAACCCTGATGATGGTAAGCTACTATTGTAGCCACAGCTGCCCTGGGGCTCACTGACAGAGGCGCGGCTGCCATGCCACTCGGCGCCATCGGTCCCTCCGACCACCACCAGCACTCACACACACACCACTTTCATACTAGGCAATGTGGGTGAAGTGTCTTGCCTAAGGACACAATGATTGAATTGATTGTATTTAACTGACCATGACTATCAACTGTTTATGGAGACCTATGTAGCATGTTTTGGGTTGATGGGGGAAACCGGAGCACCCGGAGGAAACCCATCCAGACACGGGGAGAAACATGCAAACTCCACACAGAAAGGCCTGGGCGACCCGGGGATCGAACCCAGAACCTTCTTGCTGTGAGGCATGAGTGCTAGCCACTCAGCCACCGTGCCGCATAGTTCAGATTATTGCACAGTTCCAATTATTGCACAGTTCAGATTATTGCACATTTCCCATTATTGCACAGTTCCGATTATTGCACAGTTTCGATGATTACACAGTTCCCATTATTGCACAGTTCCCATCACAGTTTCAATTATTGCACAGTTCTCATTATTACACAGTTCAGATTATTGCACAGTTCCAATTATTGCACAGTTCAGATTATTGCACATTTCCCATTATTGCACAGTTCCGATTATTGCACAGTTTCGATGATTACACAGTTCCCATTACTGCACAGTTCCCATCACAGTTCAGATTATTGCACAGTTCCCATTATTGCACAGTTCCGATTATTGCACACTCCACTCGTTGCACAGTGGAAATAGTTGTAACGCTGATGAGCGTCTTTTTATACTCTTCTTGTATCACTGATCATGATGAAAACCACACTTGAAATGCATCTTAGGCAAATATTTGTTTTTGTTTGAAATCCCGGCTGTTGGCATTTTCCAAATGACAAATGAATGCAAAACAGCGGTGCCCAAACATTTTTACTAAGTGGATCAAAATGAACACACTACCAGTCAAAAGTCTGGACACAGTTTTTCATTTATGATTTTTTTTTTCATGATTATTTACACTGTACATTCTCATTGAAAGCATCAAAACTATGAACGACACATGTGGATTATAGTGAATAAAAGACACACTCAAAATAACAATATACTAGTTGCCTATATATGGTCACGCTTTGCTTTGAACAGTGATTTGCACTTTTGTGATTTCTTGACCCTGACGTGGCACAGCTGTGAAGTAAAAAACGTTTCAGGAGACTTCATCATGAAACAGAGAAAAGCTCAGAAAGCCAAAGGTTTGCAGCAGTGTCACAAAACAAAGCGTGGAGATTGTGAGGATTTAAATCTAAAATAAAATAAAATAAAATAAAAATGTAGGGCCTGTTTACACGAGAATGCCTGCAGGTAAAAACGACAAAGTATTTTATCGGAAGTGCCTTTCGTTTAGACGGTGACAACGTTTTTAGGGCTTAAAAACGCAAAAATCCGAAACCACCCTCCAGAGTGGAAAAGTTGAATATGCTCTGCCGTAGCGTTTCCGTCTACACTGTCCAAGAACCAAAATTTCTGGTCAAATCTGCTCACATCACCACCGAGCGTCAGCACCGAGCCGCCTGGCACGCATACCCAATCGAATTCCACGGTATGAACCTCACGGTACGATATTTATTGCGATATCGTGGGAAAGCTCATGATATGGTGGGGAGGCTCACGAATACGGATGTAATGATATCGTGGAGAAAAATCCCGCACACCGTCTTACTTGCAAATTGTGAGATTTATTAGGACAAACCGTGGAATGTTTCGGCACTAGGTCTTCGTCAGGCAGACAGAATGAGAGCTCAGGTGGCCGTCTTAAAGGTTGTATAGAGGATTTTCCAAGGAAGGAGAAATCCAGCGACTGTTTGTCCTTTTTCAAATGTTGCGCATGCGTGAAACCACCCCCCCTCCCCTACAGCTCCTACGTAGAAACGCCTCCTCCCGCCTCCTCCTTACGCCAGAAACAGGTTTGTTTACAGCCGGTGCGCTGCACATGACTTGTAAACAACTAACTACAGTGTTGGTTAGGCAAGACGGAGAAGTGAGGAGCGGGGGGAGCAGGTGCGCGGACATTTCGTTCGCGGACGAGAAGTGAGGAGCAGGGAGAAGAGAGAGGAGAGGGGAGAGGGGAGCGGTGCGCGGAGATTCCGTGCCCGGAGAAGTGAGGAGCAGGGGGAAGAGCGGATCGGGCAGCGGGGACAGGAGCAGGAAAGGGGAGCAGAGAAGGTTGCGCGGAGATTCAGTGCGAATGAACTAGCTACAACACGCAGCAGCAAGCGGACTCTTTCTTTGCCTTGAAAGGAGTAATTTGGCGACCAGTGCGTCAAGAACTGTTGCGTTGGTGGAGTAAACAGCGTCTGTGCGTCTTGCGTCTGTGGACTGCGTGACAGTCGTACGTAAACCACGTACCGGCGGCGCAGGCAAGTCAGTTACACTAGAAACGTAGGGAGATTGATTGACAGCCTGTCAGCTCACAGATAACGAGGCAGTGTCGTTATCTATTGGCAAATGTTTAGCCCCACCACGTCCAGAGTTGATGAATTTTTATTCTCTTTTTTTTGGTCATCATAATTACAAGGCTACTGCATCTGTATAATCTATCATTGACAATTTGAAACAAAAAAAAATCCTCCATACAACAAATAGTGTGATAATAACGATACTAATAATAATAATAATGAAATATTAATCATAGTACAAAAATCATAGAATAATAATAGAAAAATAAGAAGAATATCTGGATACATATAGATATAGTATATTATCACCCAACTATACAGCTATAAACTATACAGGTCTATATAAATACAGTGGATCTTAAAATGTAGCCCATATACAGCCCACCCAAAGTGAGAGACCTAATGATACCTACAAAAAGAGTCCTTTTGGAGGATGTAGTGATATACAAATCTCTCGGTATGCTATTTTCACGATATACATCTCGCCGTTATATATTTATTATGATATTTTGTGGAGACTAATATGCTACTTTTTCCTCTTAAAACACCTTGACAAGACTTAATCCAAAGAACTAAGACTTAAAAGTGCTTAGAACTGTTATTTCTTCTTGTTATCTGCTCTGAAATGAAGCAAAGGATCATGGTCTATGTAGTTCCCTGTGTTTTTTTTAGCTATTGCTGCACCATAACTCTTAATTTAACACAAAGAGACTTGTAATTTTATATATCATGATGGTCCATGATATTATTGAGAGAATTTTGACGATACGATATCACGATATTTCTGTTATTGTTACATCCCTAGTATGCACGCAGATTTCCTCCTGAAAACCCTCGTCTAAATGATAATAAAATAAAAAGTGAAGACGCGACGCCGCTTTTTCGTCTTCTGTTCAGACCGTCTTCATATAAACGTAGCCTGAGTCGAGTTAGTTTTTTCTTGCTTCACATATTTGACGTCTTCTGTAGGTATCAAAAAAAAAAGAAATCAGCATTAAGTGAGAGGGCATGTCCAAACTTTTGACTGGCAGTGTTTTAGAAGTTTTACAAACATACTTCTTTACAAATGTGGACGGCCAAGTCTGTAACATCCACAAGGAGCCATTAGAGCGATTTCCCCGTTTATATGAAAGCGCAGAGAGGAAGAACACAGCAGCAGGATCCTCACTTTTACTGCAGAGCCAAGTCAATAACGGAGATAAAGGAGAACATCGAGAATGAAGGACTTTCCACTGGGGCTTTAACGTAGACTCTATCAAACACATGTGTGACGTAAACTGGAAACACGCACGAAGCACGAGATATTTTTTATGTTGTGTTCATAATGCTGTCATGATCTATTACTCTTTTCCTGTAAGGCTTTCAGTGAGCTCTGAAGCAGCCGTCCCCAAACTGTAGAGCCACGGACCAGGGTTATGTCCGACAATATTTAGCAGACCGGGTATTGCTGCGGTGCGACGTGGTTTAGTGCAGGTTTAGTCCTGGTTAAATCCTGTTTTAGTCCAGGTTAAATCCTGTTTTAGTCCAGGTTAAATCCTGTTTTAGTCCAGGTTAAATCCTGTTTTAGTCCTGGCTTAGACCTGGCTTTATTCCTGGTTTAGACCTGGTTTTAGTCCAGGATTTGTCCTGGTTTAGACCTGGTTTTCGACCCGGTTTAGTACTGGTTTTATTCCTGGTTTAGTCTGGTTTTATTCCTGGTTTAGTCCTGGTTTATACTGGTTTTAGATCCGGTTTAGTCC